GGAAAAAAGAATTGCTAACATCATACTGAATGGGGTAAAGTTGGAAGCTTTTCCACTAAAAACTGGAACAAGACGTGGCTGCCCAGTTTCTACATTCCTTTTCAATATAATATTGGAAGTCCTAGCCAATGCAGCCAGACAAAATAATAAAATAAAAGACATTCAAATAGGGAAAGGGAAAGAAGTGAAATTACCTGTTTGCAGATGACATGATTATATCCATAGAAAACCCTAAAGAATCCACAGAAAATGCTCCTGGAAGTATGACGTGAATACAGTAAAGTGTTAAGGATACAAAATCAACATAAAAAATCTATACCATTTCCATATACCAGAAGTAAAGAGACTGAGGTGGAAATAAAGAAAACTATTAAATTTTCATGAGCCACCAAAAAAAAAAAAAAAAAAAAAAAAAAGATGCTTAGGAATAAATCTATCCAAAGACATCAAAGACCTCTACAAGGATAACTATGAAAAACTTAAAAGAATTTGAGGGACCAGCAGATGGCATAATGGTTACATTGCTAGACTCCCATATGGCCAACTGCAGTTCAAGTCCCGGACCTGGCAGCTTGAAACATGTTGGGTGTGTGTGTGGGTGTATGTATGCACACATGCGTGCCCAAGATCCTGCAAGGAGAATGGAGGAGAAGGTATTGCAGAGTGGCCATCCACCTGGGAGGTGATTTCTCACTTTCTGTCTCTCTGTTTCACTCTTTCTCTTCAGTGAGCACACATGCCATATAGCAAAAATCTCTCTACAAAAATAAAAAGTAAAATAATTTGAAAATGATACCAAAAAGTGAAAGCACATTCCATGTTCCTAACCACAGTCAGAATGACTAAGATTTTTAAAAAAAACTAAAAATGAAAGAAGTGAAATTACCTGTTTGCAGATGACATGATTATATCCATAGAAAACCCTAAAGAATCCACAGAAAATGCTCCTGGAAGTATGACGTGAATACAGTAAAGTGTTAAGGATACAAAATCAACATAAAAAATCTATACCATTTCCATATACCAGAAGTAAAGAGACTGAGGTGGAAATAAAGAAAACTATTCCATTTACAATAGCCACCAAAAAAAAAAAAAAGATGCTTAGGAATAAATCTATCCAAAGACATCAAAGACCTCTACAAGGATAACTATGAAAAACTTAAAAAAATTTGAGGGACCAGCAGATGGCATAATGGTTACATTGCTAGACTCCCATATGGCCAACTGCAGTTCAAGTCCCGGACCTGGCAGCTTGAAACATGTTGGGTGTGTGTGTGGGTGTATGTATGCACACATGCGTGCCCAAGATCCTGCAAGGAGAATGGAGGAGAAGGTATTGCAGAGTGGCCATCCACCTGGGAGGTGATTTCTCACTTTCTGTCTCTCTGTTTCACTCTTTCTCTTCAGTGAGCACACATGCCATATAGCAAAAATCTCTCTACAAAAATAAAAAGTAAAATAATTTGAAAATGATACCAAAAAGTGAAAGCACATTCCATGTTCCTAACCACAGTCAGAATGACTAAGATTTTTAAAAAAAACTAAAAATGATAAGTGTTGGTGAGGCTGCAGTGAAAAGGGAACTTTCCTACACTGTTGGTGGGAGTGTAAATTAGTACAGCCACTGTGGAAAACAATATGGAAATGCCTCCAAAAATCTACAAATAGAACTACCATGTGATTCAGTAATTCCACATAAATAAAGCATAAACATACTTTATTTCAAATGTAGCTGGCTACCAAAAGTCAGAATATTTTTTTAATCTTTCACTTTAATTTTTTATGTCACTGCCCTGCTAGTGGAGTACGCATTAGGAAAATATTACTGATTAGTGTTTCATGGTCAAAAGAATTTTAGTATAAAGATTAAAACTAAATTCTTATTCTAGCAGGTTTCTGTTTCTAGTTTGCTTTGTTTTGCGTTGCTTTGCCAGAGAGCACATGCCCTCACCAGAGACAGAGACAGGGAGATGGCTCCTGCCACAGGGATCCATCCCATCCCCTCCGTTCCTCCACCCTCAGGATGTGGGGTACACAAACACACACACACACACACACGCACACCCAGTGTGTTTCTCAAGCCACCAGGTCTAGAACCTGGACAGCAGCATCGGCCGTGTGAGATCCAGCTGCCTTAGCCACTGGGCCACAGAGCCGACCCTGTTCTTTTATGCTTAAACCAATTTGTAATAATTCTCTTTTACCTACTGTTGAGTGGGCTTAGTCATTCAAACAGGGATTTAATTCTTAGCATATGTAATTGCAAACTAAACCTGCTCTGAGAGGGGCTGGCTAGAAGCAGAGATGCAGCTCAGGAGAGGCCAGACCCCTCATGGCAGCTGCTGTTCGGGTCCCCAGCTGAGTCACGCCAGGCATCTGTGCAAGCGCCCAGGACCTGGTGGGCTGACGGACTGGAAGAGGGGGATCGTGGCATGGTCAGACCAGTGGGTGGTACTCTTCTCTCTCTCTCTGTTGCACGTGTGTGTGTGTGTGTGTGTGTGTGCATGCACATAGGCTATCATAAAGAAAAAATGTTTAAAGATACTCTGAAAGTGTAGATTTTTAAGAGTGTGTTAGAGATGGCATGACTGCGGGCGTCTAGCCTGGTCTCTGGATGCAGACCGTTCAGAAGACCTCTGGGAGGTGCCCGTGGCACACAGCGGTCAGATGGATGGATAAAAGATAGGACGCTAGCTCTACTGTTTATTCTGCAAGTAGAACATTCATACTTCATCTTACTGTACTTACATATGTATATCTTCTGATAGCTCCCGAGTTCTATCAGTTTATACTAAGATGGGGTTATTGTTCTTTGTTCCCTCTAAACTGAAAACCTGTATCAGGCTCTTCTGGAGACCTTCTAGATTCCTTAAAACTACTGTAAGGGTCAACGTTGGTGCCTGTAAACAGGGATAATCCTTGGACCCTGACACTAGATTGCCACAGGTATGAGATGAGGTGGGTGACGGTCTTAGAGCCGGGCAGACCAGGTCACAGAGAGCCTTCCGTCATCCTG